GCTCTGAAATATGGCCAAACTGGTGGCAAGTGGCATCGTGGCAGCTGCACGCTTGACTTTTCTCAGTTCATGGGCAGTTATTTTGCGCCTTGGTTTTTCCACACGCTTCTTGCGACCCTGTTGACTATTTTGAATGAAACGCTTGATTGTTCGATGATCACGCTTCAGAAGCTTTGCAATTTTAAGAGTGCTGCATCCCTCTGCAAGATATCTCACTATTTTTGACTTTTCTGAGCCTGTCAAGTCCTTCTTTTGACCCATTTTGCCAAAGGAAAGGAAGTTGCCTAATAATTATGCACACCTGATATAGGGTGTTGATGTCATTAGACCACACCCCTTCTCATTACAGAGATGCACATCATCTAATATGCTTAATTGGTAGTAGGCTTTCGAGCCTATACAGCTTGGAGTAAGACAACATGCATAAAGAGGATGATGTGGTCAAAATACTCATTTGCCTAATAATTCTGCACTCCCTGTAGACTCAGTTCTTAAAGCGGCACTGTCATTGCTGAATCCTGTTTTTTTTTTTAACCCCCCTCCCGACTCCACTATATCTAATTGTCCCCCTAGTTACCCTCAAATGTCCCTAAGCCCTCCTTATTACCTATTTTTTTAATCTTTATTTTCTGCTCAGACCTAGGTCCTGGGCGCCGCCATCTTTGTGTGGGTAGATGAAGTCCCTGTGGGACACGTCATCTGCCCACACTAGATAGCACTGTGAAATTCTCACACATGCCCAGTTAAACACTTGGGCATTCGAAAAGGAATTTCATCTATTCATTCATTTGTCAGAAAGGTGAATAAATATATAGAAATTTCAAACGAATGAATGAAGACCTCTTTGTTCGTTCGTTTGGTTTATTACAAGGAGGGAGCTACCGACACGCAGCTCCCTCCTTGTAATATGTAAAAATAGAAGCGTCAGGGAGCAGTGCTCTCCGCCACTTCCTAGGCCCCCCATGTCCTCCCTCACTCTGATAATAGCATAAGGGAGACAAAAGGTCCAACTCCCCCATTTTCATTTAGGGCTCCCACCTGTCGCTCATGGGTGGAATAATAGTTCCTACTTTGTCTTATGTGTTAAAGAAAACTAGAGCAGACAGGAAGAAATGAAGAACAGATCCTGACAGAGGGAGAGAATTGGGGAAAAGTAAGTTCGGAATGACAGTGCCGCTTTAAACAAATGTTGCTCTTGGAGCAGCATTTGATTAGTGCAGCTCTGCGATTTACTGCGCATGTGCACTGGCACCCTAATGCGTCATTATGGAGAAACATTGGATTATCTGAGATTATACATCTTGATGATCTCAGCCAGAGAGGTGGAGCGGCAGAGGCAAGACCAGTGCGGCAAGGGAAGAGAAATAAGTAGTACTCACTTTTTAAACCCTCACGGGGTTGGTGGGCACCAACATAGGTAGAATAAATCTATAAAGTGAGGAATACATGTTTGTATTTAATTTCTAATGCCATAATATTCCTTTAATGCAAGACAAGTCTAAATATATTGTTTATATTACAACTATAGATCAACGTTCCAAATAATTAACGTCTGTTTGGGAGTAACTCTTTGGTGAACTAGCCAATTCCCCACGTGATTTCTGTACAAGATGTATAACAATACGTATATAATACATTTAAACCAGTCAAAAAATATCAACAGCTTCTCCAGGGGGATGAGAAGTACTTTTCGTATCTCATAAGAAGAAAAATTAACATTCTAAAGATTATGGAAGTGTTGTAGCAGATTGGATTAATTAGAACTAACAAAGCCTGCATTCCTTAGAGGAAATAACACATAAATGTTCTGTCATTTCTCTGAATTTGTGAAAGCACAGTCCTCTCAAAATATATTTTGCAGTACTAGTAAGGAGTAATTATTTGTCCTTTCACCAGCTAGATGGATCAGTGGGTAGTGCTCCAGTTGTGGTATCCCATATTCACAAGCTTGATCCCTGCTAATATCATTCAACACCTTCCGAGATTAATAAAATGGATGTCTTTAGTTTTGGTATTAATGATAATCAAACCTCAAGATATATTTAGAACCTAGTAATAATAAAAAAAAAATTAAATTGATACCAAGTAATGTAACCGTACCTTTTCAAAATGATCCCATGTGTACAACTACAATATGATGCAACACTGTGTTCTAGAAGGCAAGGGCACAATTTGAAGAATAACATCATTTAATTAATGCAGCATGAATTAATGCAGCATTTTTAAAATATAAAGATTATCAACCTTATTAAAATATATATATATATAGAGTATAAATGGAATGTTAGATAAAGATTAATTATAAATATCCCCAATAATGACCTATTTATGGTCATTAAAGGGACCGTTCTGCATGAACTCACCTAAGACCTAAAGAAATGTCAAAAGCATTCAATCGGAACTAACAGCCAAAGGCGAATCCTAGAAAGCGCACTGTATTTCGAACTATACAGGGAAGAAAATAGAAATGTTATATGATTTGAGGCGTTAAACCACAATTCTTACACACACAGTGGAAGAACCAGCATTTAGATATTATTTTGTGCTTTGTTTGTTTGTTTGTTTTTGACGTTGCAAGTGACTTAATGAATGAGTAAGTTTATATATTAAAACTCCTACTCACATGTATACTCTGTAATTACAATAGTTAGGAATAGAAGACCAGGGGATGTGTGGGAGATGTACAGTTAACTTCTGGTGGGATATCACTAGGAGATTTGTTGACAAGAAAAATAAATAAATAAAATGAATACTAATATCTATATATACATACATACTGTCTACAGGGAGTGCAGAATTATTAGGCAAGTTGTATTTTTGAGGATTAATTTTATTATTGAACAACAACCATGTTCTTAATGAACCCAAAAAACTCATTAATATCAAAGCTGAATATTTTTGGAAGTAGTTTTTAGTTTGTTTTTAGTTTTAGCTATGTTAGGGGGATATCTGTGTGTGCAGGTGACTATTACTGTGCATAATTATTAGGCAACTTAACAAAAAACAAATATATACCCATTTCAATTATTTATTATTACCAGTGAAACCAATATAACATCTCAACATTCACAAATATACATTTCTGACATTCAAAAACAAAACAAAAACAAATCAGTGACCAATATAGCCACCTTTCTTTGCAAGGACACTCAAAAGCCTGCCATCCATGGATTCTGTCAGTGTTTTGATCTGTTCACCATCAACATTGCGTGCAGCAGCAACAACAGCCTCCCAGACACTGTTCAGAGAGGTGTACTGTTTTCCCTCCTTGTAAATCTCACATTTGATGATGGACCACAGGTTCTCAATGGGGTTCAGATCAGGTGAACAAGGAGGCCATGTCATTAGATTTTCTTCTTTTATACCCTTTCTTGCCAGCCACGCTGTGGAGTACTTGGACGCGTGTGATGGAGCATTGTCCTGCATGAAAATCATGTTTTTCTTGAAGGATGCAGACTTCTTCCTGTACCACTGCTTGAAGAAGGTGTCTTCCAGGAACTGGCAGTAGGACTGGGAGTTGAGCTTGACTCCATCCTCAACCCGAAAAGGCCCCACAAGCTCATCTTTGATGATACCAGCCCAAACCAGTACTCCACCTCCACCTTGCTGGCGTCTGAGTCGGACTGGAGCTCTCTGCCCTTTACCAATCCAGCCACGGGCCCATCCATCTGGCCCATCAAGACTCACTCTCATTTCATCAGTCCATAAAACCTTAGAAAAATCAGTCTTGAGATATTTCTTGGCCCAGTCTTGACGTTTCAGCTTGTGTGTCTTGTTCAGTGGTGGTCGTCTTTCAGCCTTTCTTACCTTGGCCATGTCTCTGAGTATTGCACACCTTGTGCTTTTGGGCACTCCAGTGATGTTGCAGCTCTGAAATATGGCCAAACTGGTGGCAAGTGGCATCGTGGCAGCTGCACGCTTGACTTTTCTCAGTTCATGGGCAGTTATTTTGCGCCTTGGTTTTTCCACACGCTTCTTGCGACCCTGTTGACTATTTTGAATGAAACGCTTGATTGTTCGATGATCACGCTTCAGAAGCTTTGCAATTTTAAGAGTGCTGCATCCCTCTGCAAGATATCTCACTATTTTTGACTTTTCTGAGCCTGTCAAGTCCTTCTTTTGACCCATTTTGCCAAAGGAAAGGAAGTTGCCTAATAATTATGCACACCTGATATAGGGTGTTGATGTCATTAGACCACACCCCTTCTCATTACAGAGATGCACATCACCTAATATGCTTAATTGGTAGTAGGCTTTCGAGCCTATGCAGCTTGGAGTAAGACAACATGCATAAAGAGGATGATGTGGTCAAAATACTCATTTGCCTAATAATTCTGCACTCCCTGTATGTATGTTACATTGAGGCTCATCCACCCTTGTATCCTGGTGTGTCACATGTAGATGACTGATATATTTAAATGTATCCATCTGCCGGAGAGATCATTAAGCACTCCTGCACCAGGGGGATTATAGGTCCATAAACTCATAAACTGCAGGTCTCAGTATCCCAGCTTATTGTCAGTTGTGGCAGGAATGTTGTTTAAGGAAAGCAGTGGAGTGAAGACTCAATGAGCCCCTTGGGCCACAGAGGCTGATCTCAGCTGCACACCCAATGACACTATAGCTTCATCAAGGCTTTCTATTAAAAAATATCAGCCTGGCCCTTGCTATAAGTACAGCTCAGATCTAAAATGTCAGCAAAGTCTCCAACGCATAAGAGTCACAGAAGCTCTAAATGATCATTTTCAGAGTTCCTCAGAGTGTCTTCTAAATATTTGTTTACTTGCACATTTTAGCAATCAATGTACGTCTGGAGGGGAATCCAGGACCCTTTCTTTATTGTGCTGAGAGGGCCAATCATCAATCATAGATGAGACCTGTGATATGTTGCCAATAGTGATGTCCCGAAGTGTTCGCCGAATAGTTCACGAACAGTTCGCCACGAACGGTTCACCGCGGACTCATCATTGAGTAAACTTTGACCCTGTACGTCACAGTCAGCAGACACATTCAAGCCAATCAGCAGCAGACCCTCCCTCTCAGACCCTCCCACCTCCTGGACAGCTCACTAAGAATGCAGCTTCACAATGGATGCTGACCAGGAGTAGGGAGGGTCTGGGAGGGAGGGTCTGCTGCTGATTGGCTGGAATGTGTCTGCTGACTGTGAGGTACAGGGTCAAAGTTTACTCAATGATGAGTCCGTGGCGAACCGTTCGTGGCGAACCGTTCGTGGCGAACCGTTCGCGAACCGTTTGCGAACCGTTCGGCGAACAGTTCAGGACATCACTAGTTGCCATTGCTAGTGTAGAGGGAAAATGCCTGCTGTTAAAGGGACAATAAAACAACCATAACCACCAAAGCTATTGTGCCAGGAGAGCTCTGGTGTCCCCCCAATGTAAGGAATCACAATGTTTTTGAATCACCGTACCCTGCCTCCACTATCAAACCTGGAGAGCCAGACATTACTACACAGGAATTTCCATTAGCTCTCCTGAGCTAAGCTAGGCAGTGCAGGCCATAGTTCATTGGCTGAGAGTGCCATCTGATTTCTCTCAGCCAATTAACTAAGCCCAGCAACTTCTGACTCTCTGACATTAGTAGTGGAAGCAGGGAGCGGCCCGAGATATGAAGTAAGAGAGAACTGTTTGGCTCCTTACTATAGGGGGTGCCTGACCACTCCTGCCACTATCAGGTCTACAGCGGCCGTAGTGGTTATGGTGCTTGCATTGTTCCTATAAGGTTCTTAAAAGTTTACTTTGTGATGGCACAAACAACCTGAAATTAGTTTGAGACCCTTCTGAATAGGCACTACTGCTAAGAAGGATAACTTATTACTCTTAATGTTAGCTTTTTTTAAAGTAGCACACTAAATAATATAAACTTTATAAACATTAAATCCAGCTCACAGTCCAGGTTTAATGCATTTCCCTTGTTTAATCAAATGGAGATGCTGACAAAACCTGGACTGTTGGTGGTCTCATAAGGACTGGATTGAGGACTACTATCCTAGACTCTCAGAGAAGCCGTGTCCCATTGCTATGTCAAGCAATGTAGAGGAGTTAAAAGAAAACCTGGGCTTCTAGTAAAACCCAGAGAGTGCTCCCATCTCAGCTGTATTGATAATATGGAATTAATATCCTGCATTAATCAATCTTTTAATCTTTTAATCAATTAGTCAATCTTTCTTGTCCAATATATCTGACGTTGATAAGCTGTGAGCAATGGGTTAGTCCTCGTCCAGCACTTTCAGCCAATCATAGCTGTCCAGTTTGGATACAATTGACATTGATAATGTGAATATATGTAACAGTGTTTTATGTCTCCATAGGGCAAGCTGATAAGACTTTGTGTATTCTCTTGATTTCCTTCCATATATTGATTGAGCATGTTATTCCTGTAGCATTAGAAGCTGTATAACGTGTTGTCAAGCATACATTGTTTGCGTGTAGTTATTGAAATGTTATTTGCATTACATTAAAAAATCTTCAGTAGTCTAACCTTTGGGCAGATGGTGCCGTTTAGTCAACAGATTAATTCTTTTGTATAAATGTACTAGAGTTCGAATTGTTTTATTAAGAAATCACACAAGTTTGAAAACAAAGAACAAAGTGTAAAAACAATTTGTAAGGTCAAGACGACATTTTAAAAGTGTAGAATTCCCTTTTCAAATCTGAAATTCTATAACAAAACATTTAGGCCAAATAACTTTAAAATACGCCAATTATTTATAGCATAGTTCTGATACCGACACATTGTGGATCATTATGTCCTTTAAATATACAAATACTTTTAACTACAACCTGGGGTTATCACTGTAGAGGATGAAGAGATTTTGACAGTAAGCTATGGAAATGTATTGATTTGTTTCAAAGGGGATTGACATAACTAGCTTATCTTTGTAGGGCTTAAGAAAAACTGTTAAATACAAGTTTATACTCCACTAGAACCAATATAATATAATATAACTAGAAAAGCTACAATTTCTGGGGAAATTGTGTGAAGTGTTCTTGCTTCCACCAGTAGTCTACAACTGGAGTGGGCAGAGTAACTGTTATCATTTATTTATATAGCACATTTAATTGCAACGTTGTTGCACAGTTACATTAAACCATACATTTATAAAAACATTAGCAGGTGTACAAAAGGCCCTGTCTATGACATCACTTGCTGCTGCAGCCTGACACAGGTCAGAGTATTTTGGCGGTTGCCATCTTCAAACGGTCGTAAATCCTACAGCGAAGAGCTTTATATTGTGAGAATCACAAGACCCAGACCTACATTTTGATGCGTAGTATGTCTCGGAAATATTATAAACGAAGGCACAGTGGCAGTTTAGAAATTGCTCTTCAAATTTGAGCTGGCTAGAGTGAAGTTTCAATGAATGTCAATGGACGGCGTGAGTTGCAAACAAATGGTCATGTTGTGAAAACTATCAGGACTATGGCTTAGCCATGGACATGTTTAGTGGCAGCAGGGATAGCTGAACATATATAAGATTTGTGTAGGTGGGATTGAAAATGAGGGAGTGGTGGCAGTTTAGAAATCATGTCCTGATTTTTCAACTTTTGCCAGCTCCCACTCTAGTTTTGAACAGTTTGCCATTCATTCCAATGGGACCAATTTCGCCACAAGAACGACGATATTCCGTGAACCATTCGGCGAAACGTTCCACAAAGTAATAAAAGTTTCAGGGGCTGTCTTATTTTTGGGGGAAAATGGTATGATTCCCTGGTGCAGTACAGGGAGTGCAGAATTATTAGGCAAGTTGTATTTTTGAGGATTAATTTTATTATTGAACAACAACCATGTTCTCAATGAACCCAAAAAACTCATTAATATCAAAGCTGAATATTTTTGGAAGTAGTTTTTAGTTTGTTTTTAGTTATAGCTATGTTAGGGGATATCTGTGTGTGCAGGTGACTATTACTGTGCATAATTATTAGGCAACTTAACAAAAAACAAATATATACCCATTTCAATTATGTATTATTACCAGTGAAACCAATATAACATCTCAACATTCACAAATATACATTTCTGACATTCAAAAGCAAAACAAAAACAAATCAGTGACCAATATAGCCACCTTTCTTTGCAAGGACACTCAAAAGCCTGCCATCCATGGATTCTGTCAGTGTTTTGATCTGTTCACCATCAACATTGCGTGCAGCAGCAACCACAGCCTCCCAGACACTGTTCAGAGAGGTGTACTGTTTTCCCTCCTTGTAAATCTCACATTTGATGATGGACCACAGGTTCTCAATGGGGTTCAGATCAGGTGAACAAGGAGGCCATGTCATTAGATTTCCTTCTTTTATACCCTTTCTTGCCAGCCACGCTGTGGAGTACTTGGACGCGTGTGATGGAGCATTGTCCTGCATGAAAATCATGTTTTTCTTGAAGGATGCAGACTTCTTCCTGTACCACTGCTTGAAGAAGGTGTCTTCCAGGAACTGGCAGTAGGACTGGGAGTTGAGCTTGACTCCATCCTCAACCCGAAAAGGCCCCACAAGCTCATCTTTGATGATACCAGCCCAAACCAGTACTCCACCTCCACCTTGCTGGCGTCTGAGTCGGACTGGAGCTCTCTGCCCTTTACCAATCCAGCCACGGGCCCATCCATCTGGCCCATCAAGACTCACTCTCATTTCATCAGTCCATAAAACCTTAGAAAAATCAGTCTTGAGATATTTCTTGGCCCAGTCTTGACGTTTCAGCTTGTGTGTCTTGTTCAGTGGTGGTCGTCTTTCAGCCTTTCTTACCTTGGCCATGTCTCTGAGTATTGCACACCTTGTGCTTTTGGGCACTCAGTGATGTTGCAGCTCTGAAATATGGCCAAACTGGTGGCAAGTGGCATCGTGGCAGCTGCACGCTTGACTTTTCTCAGTTCATGGGCAGTTATTTTGCGCCTTGGTTTTTCCACACGCTTCTTGCGACCCTGTTGACTATTTTGAATGAAACGCTTGATTGTTCGATGATCACGCTTCAGAAGCTTTGCAATTTTAAGAGTGCTGCATCCCTCTGCAAGATATCTCACTATTTTTGACTTTTCTGAGCCTGTCAAGTCCTTCTTTTGACCCATTTTGCCAAAGGAAAGGAAGTTGCCTAATAATTATGCACACCTGATATAGGGTGTTGATGTCATTAGACCACACCCCTTCTCATTACAGAGATGCACATCACCTAATATGCTTAATTGGTAGTAGGCTTTCGAGCCTATACAGCTTGGAGTAAGACAACATGCATAAAGAGGATGATGTGGTCAAAATACTCATTTGCCTAATAATTCTGCACTCCCTGTAGTGTTTAATGAACCCTCCTATTGATGTCATACCATATAGTCTCATATGCTATGCCAGGATGTCCAATTTCATGTTAAAAAAGGAACAGGGTTGCACCTTCCCAGCTGTCAATCATACAGCCGTGAGTGTGCTCTTCCTGATTGCGTTGTGCCGGGATGCAAAGCGGAAGGTTGTGATTCTCATCCTCATTACCACACATGCGCTGTGCGTCCTACTCTTTACTTCAAGAACCATCCTACTGGGTGGCAGATCATCACTAATGCCGATGATTTTTCTAGCGGGTGAAGCAGAGCTGCCGTGAGGGACCATCTTGCCGCTGGGTTACTGATAACTTAACTCTTTGTTTACAGAAAGGGTCGGCACAGCGACCCGAAAGCCTTTATTTATAAATAAAGTGTATTTACTTAAAACGTTGGAGTGTTACTTTACGTCTGTTTTAATTGTACAGTAATTGAGCATATTGCATTTGGAGGTGCAGAGAAATAAGGTAATCTGCTCCTCTAGTGCCCATACCTACAATAACTCTTCTAAAGTGATTTTGCTTTTTGCATTTTTTGCATATTATCCATTTTAATTGTAAGCTCATGTGCCTTCTTACGTAGAACTTTGTATGTATTTAGTACAAATGTTAGATTAAAGGCCATGTGCTAAGTTTTCTTCCATTTCCTTTTTAAGTATTTCAGATATGTCTAATTTTATACCCCTTTATCAGTTATCCAATTCACGGATAATTGCGACATTTTGTAAAGCTCTCTGGATAAGATCCACTCATAATAACTGTTAAATAAATTCATTACATTCTGAATCTTGCTGGTGTATCTGACCATTAGATTGGCAAGATAAACATGCATCTAT